AGTTCTCTACAATCGATGCCGCTAAATTTCCAATAAACAAAAAGAATCTTTTCATTTCAAAAAGCTGACAAATCGCTTGTCCATGGCGGCTTTAGCTAGTGTCGAGTACCGCTGAGTACCGATGTTCTGATTTTAATATGTTGATGTTATCTGCAACAAACGGTCCATTTTTGCCAGTCAGATCTGCACGCCGTCATTCTCAATAAATTGGCCTTCCCTAGTCTCCACTGCTCGATCTCCAATTATACTTTGACGACTCTGATCTCATAAACCTTCGCACAAACACGATTCCAATAGATATCAGTCCAAAGCATTTGTAATCTGCGACCACAAATCAGATGAGACCAGATACGTGACACACGAAAACAAAGCATACCTGGTTTGATTGATGTTTCGAAGGCTAAGTAATCAACACTACCCTCACCGCGCCAATCAGAAGCTGCGTTCATGGGCGAACGCAGTTTTTCAAAATCATGGGGTTTGCGGGCAAGCGGTTCCTTCGTTCCCCTCCCCCTCCCCCGTCATTCATGTTTTTTTTGCTCTTGTCCCAGCTTTCTAGACGAACGTCGCGAGGAAACGCTTGCTACGCAGGCTAACTAGGCAACCATTTGTTATGATGTGCCAAATTTTACAAATCTCACAACAGAAGACTTTTTAATTTTTTTGTAAATTTCTTAGATACCTTGAAGGGCCTTTCCCCTGTATGCACTAGCATATGAAGCTTCAATTTAGATGCTTTGGAACACACTACATTACAGTCAGGGTGTGGGCACACATGACGTTTGCCATCACTACACTGCTCCTCATCCTCCTGTTGATGCAAATTACCACAATAATTATTGTTATCTTTCATTAGTGACTGTGCAATACTGCACCATACTGCATGTCTAACACTTATATCTGATTTTGTCTACAGAGAACCTTGTGTATGAGTTATAATGAAGAAAATACAAAACTTGGACTAGCCTGTGAATACAGCCTGACTTGTCACCTGCTCTCTGCCATCTGGGACATTTTACAATAGGGAGAAATTTGCATTTTGGCCCCATAAATTCCATACCAATGACATAATTCTGTCCAGGATCTGGCCAGAGACTCTAATGAGACCCTTTCCGGGTAAAATCGCGACAAGCAACTTGGCCTTGAAATGGCGACAAACAACACAAGGGGTTGAAATAATTGCAATGTTCAGTGATGAAGACAATTTAAGCGCAAAAACAATAATAAATTGTACAATGCCAACAGGGACATGGCTTCCTCCTCAATGCATGAAACGACTGGTTTTGAAAACCAAACTAGGGAAAGCATACCCACCCTAAGACGGCCTATTAAACTGGTTAATATGGTTAACTCATTCAGCTACTGCTCATGAATAACATACAAAACACAAAAGGTCCTAAAGATCAAACGCTACGAATGCACTGGTCTACCAAGAAACTCTCATTTCTTTGTAACATATTTGCTTTTAATTACAAGAAGATTTCGAGTTTCACCAGCACCAAATTAGCAGCATAACTCAACATTTTACAATAATCAACAAGGATAAACAGAAACTCGACATACTTATTTCTAAAACCCCATCACTTTCAGATTAATATGACAGTATGTTAAAACCTTGATTCAAGTAACCATGAAATTTTTAAAGGAAAAAGTTTACTTACAGACAAAATAAATTTTCACCAGTAAGCTGGAGGGTGGATAAGTTGAAAATTAAGCATACCTCAGAGATACAGCATACTAACTGACCAACCTAATGTTGCGGAAACATCGCTTACTGTCTTAAAGATTCTTGACTGTATGCATCTGGAAAATCGTATTAATTTTGACCTACTTATGACTGGACAGAGTTCAAATACCTGTTCATCTTGTGATGTTTCATCCACCTCCATGCCACTACTTCCATCACGCGTCATGTTGATGTGAATTGCCTGGTTTCCTGTCACTCCTGGTACCAGCATTCCACTCAGCAACACCTGTTGCTGATCTGTCAAAATCACATTTCTGGTGAGATCTGCTGAGGAGGTAAGCACATCCAGAGCTGCAGCACTACCATCTCCATGATTTAGCATTGAGCTTGTTGTAACAACTTGATAATGTGTTTCACTCGCTTCAGCATCTCCCTCTGTTAAAAATGCAGGAACTTGAGTTGGAAAGGAAGTCACATCAGCAGAAAGAATGCTAGTTGTTACCAAGGAGATAGCTTGGCTGTTGGGATACACTTGAATTGTTATTTCCTGTGTAGGTTTATTCTGCTCTTGAAGTAATGTGTTATTCTCCACATGTTGTCCATGGTTTGTGGCTTCATGACTGAGACACTCTTTGTTGATATTGGAACCTTCTACTATGTGAAAGAAACAAAAAAATAAAATTGAAAAACGTACTTAATAAAACAGGTATGAAAAAGTCAGAGCAGGTTAAATCACAGATTTCACGTGATTAAGAAATTAAATAGAATAGCTGTGTACTCCTGAAGTTAGGCACAGTTAAATTCTCAAGAAGCTCTTATTTTCCTGTTAGTAATATTATCAATGGTGTGACTTCCTTCCGGGGGTTACTTAGTGTACCTGTATTTCCAGGAGGTTCTTACTCCCAACCTTTTTGTAAGAAAATATTAAAAAAACTTGAAGATTTTTGTGCCATTTTCAAAAAGTTCCAAGAAAAAATTGTGAAAATTATGGACTCCTAAGGTGAGGTATCTAACTGGGGTTTAGGACAAGAGAAACTAAGAGAAACCATATCTAATGATCATGGCACTAAAAAGAATACCCTGTTTGAGGACTGGGAACTCCAAAACTGCAGACACCAGTTCCCCAAAAGATGGTTAAGTTTAAACAAGGATTAAGCCAAATTCCAAGCAAGGTTTTCTTGTCTACAGAACATGTAACTCGATCTTACAAAATACTGTTGTGTCTTCACTCTGAGATCCAGAGATGATAACATAAAATGTTACTCTAAGCAATGCGTAGGAAAGTAAATATACAAAAGGTGGAACAAAAGTTTTAATCCTAGATTAGCACTAATCTACGTTTCAGGAACTTGGCCCAGATGTAATACCCCACTGCATGCAGCATACCTATACAGTTTAGGTACCACATGTAAACGTATGGGAGTACCCTTAAGGTCCCCAAGTATTAAAGACGTGACTTTGCACTTGACTTACTTAAAGAAGGCGCTCTCTGTTCTTCATTAGACTGTTGGCCATTCTGTAAATGTGTAGATGAGCAAGGGTCAACCAGATGTGCCACACTAGGAGATCCTAAAGGATCAATGCTTCTTATGTACTCTGGAACAACCCTGCCGTCAACGCTGATCAGGTTAAAGTCAGGCTTGATTCCTCCTCTTTCCAGATGATTTACGTCACCTTTAAAGGAAAGTACTAAAATATTGTTAAAGAAACAACACTAACAGCCTCCATGATCAAAGGAACCTTTCATTCAAGACACTGCTGCAGAGATTTTTTAATGGCTCGCCAGCAAGGATTTAAAATTGTACAAATTTCAAGACTTTTAAATGGAAAGCAAAAGTTCACTTTAGAAACAATGGCATCTGTGAGACTAATGTGACAAAATCAATTATTAATCAATTTTTTCCTAACCCTTCCCTCCCCCTCCCCCCACCCCAACCCCGGTAGAAATTCTGCTCAAGGCTCATACTTTTCCTTAAACTGTGGCTCCTAGACCCTAATCCTCCCTTTGAATTGCCAGTGACAGTAATCTACGGGTTGGGTATAGAAATTTCTTGGGACCACCCAATTCCGAACAACAATGTTGGTAGGGATAGAGAACTTCAAGGATTTATGTAGATTAAAAGTACCTTCAGGGTGAAATGAGCTCATGTCTTTATCTCCAATCCCACCATATACAGAGCGTTGGAATGTCATATCCAAATCTTCATCATGGTTCACTGTGCTTCCATGTTCAAATGGTGATGATAACTGGTCCTCTAAGTTGCCATGGAGATTAAAGCAGTCTTGCTCAGAGCTAGGCTGGTCAGACTCACAACATGCTGTTGAGATACTGGGCAGTGAAAACTGCTTTGAATTTGTTGTTATGGTACTCGTTGTTGTGATAATGAGTTCACTATCAAGCAAGGTGGAGGATGATTCTTCCATTTCATTTTGAGGGTGAGATTGGGTGTCCTTGCCATCTTCCAGAATTTCATTGTTTTTGCCAAACTCATAGTTGTCATCTTCTGTTAGGGAGCAATGCAAAGAATATGTGAAAGCATGCCCTGACCAAGCTCTGATAGAGCTTTAAAATTCTCTCTATAAATTGCCTAGTGTTTGCTTAGGAATCTGAGGGAGAATGTGACATTAGAGTGACAGTCATTCAGTTCCTTTAATAAAGAACTATAAAATGAATTAATTATTTTCATGGTAACATTCTAGCCAGCTTGCGCAACCCAGCGGCAACAATGGAATAAACAAAATCAAGGAGGCAATTTGGGTGTTACAGATGTAATAAGCCATACCAACACAGGAAAAAATAACGGATTCCCATTTTGGGATATTTTTGGGTATTTAAAGAATACCCACAAAAATCCCAAATTTGGAAGAGTGAGACAAGTCCCAATCTGGGAACTTGGTTGGGAATTCCCTGGTTGGGACTTGTCTCACTTTGCCAAATTTGGGATTTTTATGGGTATTCTTTAAATACCCAAAAATATCCAAAAATGGGAATCCGTTATTTTTGTAACATTAATGTTACGTAAGGTAATCTTAATGCAAGTTCTATTCGTAAAATCTGTAAACTAAGCTTTTTACGACTCATATTGACATCAAATCCCGATATTGCTACTGCATGCATACGATTACAGACATTCTTTTGCGCAAGACAATAGCTGACCCACAAAACAACAACTTATTTAGTAGTTTTGCTTTCCTTGAACTGAACAGTTTTAGAGTTCAACTGAGATCCAATTTATGAATGCAGAATAATCGTTTTCCCGCGCAATTCAAGTATTTCTGAGAGCATGTCTTTGCTCTATGATCACAACACAACGAGCTTCCGTAAAACGTTCAAAACACGTCGTAAACGACTTATCATCGGACACAGAAGCTTATAACTCACGAACAAAACACTTTCCTACCGTTGGAACAGTTTTGCAGATCACTGGCCCCTGTGTGTTGTTCAGGGAACCCCTTGGAAAGTGATGGCCCCTGCGAATCCATCATGGCGCTCCCCACAGCCGAGAAGAAAGCAAAATGGCGGACGACATGCAGCATGCAAGCGATATGATATTGCGCAATAGCAAAACACGAACCACTTGCATGGGGGGTGGTGAGACATTAATTTATTCCCAATGTGTCTAAAATTCCAAAGAATAGGGCAGGGATTTGCGTTCTAGTCAATTTCTGGTTATAATAATAAAAAATGTTGAAATTCTTACTCAGAGTCCAGACACCAATACAACACACATTGATCGATACTTTAATCAAAACTGCCCATGCCCCAGTCCGCACAGGTATTTTGCGCGCGATGGACACGCGGAAAGCACGCAAAGAAAAGGAGAGGTTACATAGCAAAATGTTGTTTGCCTTGTGATGAACGAGGAAGAGTTGTAGGGGAATCGAAATTGGCAGAAACTTTGTTTATGTTCTTTGAGTGAAGGCCATGTCTAACACCACAGACGATGGGAAAGGTGACAATGATCCCTGTCCTCTCCAGTACTTTGATTTTAAAATGGTGGACCACAAGGCGATGTGTCCTTTCTTCACTTCTTTGCTGACTCGTTCATCCGAACAAGGGATCGCACCAGAGGATCTCCACCTGCTTCAAAGCGACCTTGAAACTCTTCTTGCAGGCGCCAATCGCCGAATAAGACAGATCGACTCCGAAATGAAACTTTTGATTGACTGGGTAGAGAAAAAAGACAAGAAAAGCGTCAGGCAAAGAGAGTTAGAGATTCTCAATTCGCTTTCTTCATTTAAACGTAGCAGGTCAGCAGCAGAGGAGAAAGGAGCCAAACGCCAAAAATTTGAAGAGTCTCGTAGCGCCAGCCCAGCACCGGTGGGAAGACCAAAAAGCAAACATTCGGCTTCTTCTGAAGGAAGCCAGGAAGAGGAAACATTCTCCCCTAGTGTGAAAGCAAAAAGCGATGCCCCCAATCGCTTTTGGACGGCAGTTGAGCCATACTGTGCTGACATCACCTTAGAGGACCAAAAGTTTCTTGAAGAGTCTTTAAAGGTTCCTGATGACGAACAGGAATATTACAAGATCCCACCTTTGGGAAGGCACTATGCAGAAAAGTGGGCTCAGGAAGATCTTCTTACCGAACAAGAGGAAGGGGCTAGGATGCAGGACAAGAAACTACGTGGAACATTAACTAACACCACAAGTGAAAACACTGGCAAAACAAGCGAAGAAAAATCAACGTTAAAAAAAGGAGATCCTGCTGCACTCCCAGAAGAGGATCTGTGTCCATTTGGGCCTCTTACGCAAAGACTGGTCTCTGCTTTAATTGAAGAAAATATAATAGCGCCTATTTCTGAGCAGAGTTCCTCCGTATCAGGAAACTCAGACAATGTTACTACTACAAGGAGTGGTAACAACCCCCCTCGCACCCCTACAAAGGCACCCCATGTACCTCATACTCGTACTTTAGAGGCGCGCATAAGGGAAGAATTAGTGTTCCAGGGTTTGATAGATGCTGATGATCAGACTGATGAGGATAATGATGATGAAGTTTTATCTGAGCTAAAACGACATCAAAATGAGTTACGTGCTTTGATTGCAAAGAACAGACAGCAAAAAATGGAATTATTGAAACTAACTCAGGAGGAGATGAAGAGACAGGAACTCAAGCACAGAGCACAAGTAGCCAATGCAGAAGTCATGGAATGGTTCAGAAAAATGATGGCCTGTAAACAAAAACGAAAGTCACCTACCAAGAAAGAGAAGGAAGCTGCTTGGAAGGCACTAAGGGAAAGGGAAGCAATACAAAGGGTTCTTGGAAACACATAAATGATATATAAATATGTGTGACATACTTTTCTCCAGGTGTTCCAATAATTTCGTGGCATGTAACTGCTGAAATTATGAAGAATACTTAGAATGCCAAGCATTAAAACCATGAACACATGATACATACATCTGTTGTCTGTTGTCTGTTGTCTGGCCGGGTTGGTTTTAGGTTCTGCTTTAAAGCAATAGCAACAAAGGGATTGCAATACTACCTCTGGAGACTGGGAGGGGGCTAGTCAAGACAGGAGACTGGTAGAATCAGTTAGTTCAAAAGTTTACAGTGACCAAGAGAGCTCACCAAGAGACCAAGAGTTATGAGTTTTTTGTGCCAGCATTTGATTGTGCCTGATTACCCTTCTTTTAATTCTATACTTTCTGGTAAGCCTGTGACAACTTTGTTTATGCTTGGGAAAACTTGCTGCTAGGGTCATACATTTAATCCTTGTTCGCAGACTTGGTGTCACTGTCATTTTTTGTATATTTTTTCAATAAATTAACAACCTGGAACAGTGAGAGGTTTGAAAGCAAAAATTAATACACCATCTGAAATCACTAATGTAAATAAATATTTTATGTTTATTTGCCACAAAATTCTGGATCATGTATTGACATTCTCAACAATACAAAATACTGATTTTTACAATATGATCCATTTAATATCTATGAAAATAGACATTTTCATCCTTGTTGCTAATAAATCTTGTTTCCTTGCTATAGAGTTCAAAAACAGTGAAGTAACAGAGAAAATGCGTACATATTTCATACCGGTACATTGTTTACAGGTAGCCATTATGACACCTGAAGGAAAATCTTCAGGTTAAGCCTATATTACATCCTTATACCAATTCACTCTTGAACCATCAATTCATCATCGATCATCAATTCAGTATCCATTTACAATGAAATAGTCCGCTAACTTCTCTATAACTGAGCCACAGCAGCCCGCTTGCATTCCCTCTGAATATCCACCAATCAGGAGACACTTGTTGGTCTTGACTGCTACAGCACCTTCATTGCCTTTGCGGCAATAGATGGCATGTCCAGGTTCTGACCTAACAAATACATACTTTGTTCTATTAATAGCAATTCCTTTTGAATAGAAAGGTGAGGGATCTTTGGTGATTCCATTGATTAATGCTTGGGCCTCGCTTGGAAGGACCTGAAATTGATCTGTCAAAATCACATTTCTGGTGAGATCTGCTGAGGAGGTAAGCACATCCAGAGCTGCAGCACTACCATCTCCATGATTTAGCATTGAGCTTGTTGTAACAACTTGATAATGTGTTTCACTCGCTTCGGCATCACCCTCTGTTAAAAATGCAGGAACTTGAGTTGGAAATGAAGTCACATCAGCAGAAAGAATGCTAGTCGTTACCAAGGAAATAGCTTGGCTGTTGGGATACACTTGAATTGTTATTTCCTGTGTAGGTTTATTCTGCTCTTGAAGTAATGTGTTATTCTCCACATGTTGTCCCTGGTTTGTGGCTTCATTACTGAGACACTCTTTGTTGATATTGGAACCTTCTACTACATGAAAGAAACAAAAAAATAAAATTGAAAAACGTACTTAATAAAACAGGTATGAAAAAGTCAGAGCAGGTTAAATCACAGATTCACGTGATTAAGAAATTAAACAGAATAGCTGTGTACTCCTGAAGTTAGGCACAGTTAAATTCTCAAGAAGCTCTTATTTTCCTGTTAGTAATATTATCAATGGTGTGACTTCCTTCCGGGGGTTACTTAGTGTACCTGTATTTCGTGGAGGTTCTTACTCCCAACCTTTTTATAAGAAAATATTAAAAGAACTTGAAGATTTTTGTGCCTTTTTCAAAAAGTTCCAAGAAAAAAATTGTGAAAATTATGGACTCCTAAGGTGAGGTATCTAACTGGGGTTTAGGACAAGAGAAACTAAGAGAAACCATATCTAATGATCATGACACTAAAAAGAGTACCCTGTTTGAGGACTGGGAACTCCAAAACTGCAGACACCAGTTCCCCAAAAGATGGTCAAGTTTAAACAAGGATCAGAACAAGGATTAAGCCAAATTTCAAGCAAGGTTTTCTTGTCTAAGAACATGTCACTCGCGCTAACAAAATACTGTTGTGTCTTCACTCTGAGATTCAGAGATGATAACATAAAATGTTACTCTAGGCAATGCATAGGAAAGTAAACACACAAAAGGTGGAACAAACGTTTTAATCCTAGATTAGCGCTAATTGACCTTTCAGGAACTTGGCCCAGATGTAATACCCCACTGCATGCAACATACCTAAACAGCTTAGATACTACATGTAAACGTATGGGTATTACCCTTAAGGTCCCAAAGTAAGGCTTGACTTTGCACTTGACTTACTTAAAGAAGGCGCTCTCTGTTCTTCCTTAGACTGTTGGCCATTCTGTAAATGTGTAGATGAGCAAGGGTCAACCAGATGTGTCACACCAGGGGATCCTAAAGGATCAATGTTTCTTATATACTCTGGAACAACCCTGCCGTCAACGCTGATCAGGTTAAAGTCAGGCTTGATTCCTCCTCTTTCCAGATGATTTACTTCACCTTTAAAGGAAAGTACTAAAATATTGTTAAAAGAAACAACACTAACTGCCACCATGATCAAAGGAACCTTTCATTCAAGACAGTGCTGCGGAGATTTTTTAACGGCTCGCCAGCAAGGATTAAAAACTGTCCAAATTTTAAGACTTTTAAATGGAAAGCAAAAGTTCAGTTAAGAAACAAAAGTATCTGCGAGACTAATGTGAAAAAATAGACTGATCAATTTTTTCCTATCCCTTGCTCCCCCCCGCCCACCCCACCCCAAACCCTAGTAGAAATTCTGCTCAAGGTTCATACTTTTCCTTACAAACAGTGGCTCCTAGACCCTAATATTAATCCCCCGTTTGAATTGCTAGTGACAGTAATCTATGGGCTGGGTATAGAAATTTCTTGGGACCACCCAATTCCCAACAATGTTGGTAGGGATAGAGGACTTGAAGGATTTACAGAGATTAAAAGTACCTTCAGGGTGAAATGAGCTCATGTCTTTATCTCCGATTCCACCATATACAGAGCGTGGGAATGTCATATCCAAATCTTCATCATGGTTCACTGTGCTTCCATGTTCAAATGGTGATGATAACTGGTCCTCTAAGTTGCCATGGAGATTAAAGCAGTCTTGCTCAGAGCTAGGCTGGTCAGACTCACAACATGCTGTTGAGATACTGGGCAGTGAAAACTGCTTTGAATTTGTTGTTATGGTACTCGTTGTTGTGATAATGAGTTCACTATCAAGCAAGGTGGAGGATGATTCTTCCATTTCATTTTGAGGGTGAGATTGGGTGTCCTTGCCATCTTCCAGAATTTCATTGTTTTTGCCAAACTCATAGTTGTCATCTTCTGTTAGGGAGCAATGCAAAGAATATGTGAAAGCATGCCCTGACCAAGCTCTGATAGAGCTTTAAAATTCTCTCTATAAATTGCCTAGTGTTTGCTTAGGAATCTGAGGGAGAATGTGACATTAGAGTGACAGTCATTCAGTTCCTTTAATAAAGAACTATAAAATGAATTAATTATTTTCATGGTAACATTCTAGCCAGCTTGCGCAACCCAGCGGCAACAATGGAATAAACAAAATCAAGGAGGCAATTTGGGTGTTACAGATGTAATAAGCCATACCAACACAGGAAAAAATAACGGATTCCCATTTTGGGATATTTTTGGGTATTTAAAGAATACCCACAAAAATCCCAAATTTGGAAGAGTGAGACAAGTCCCAATCTGGGAACTTGGTTGGGAATTCCCTGGTTGGGACTTGTCTCACTTTGCCAAATTTGGGATTTTTATGGGTATTCTTTAAATACCCAAAAATATCCAAAAATGGGAATCCGTTATTTTTGTAACATTAATGTTACGTAAGGTAATCTTAATGCAAGTTCTATTCGTAAAATCTGTAAACTAAGCTTTTTACGACTCATATTGACATCAAATCCCGATATTGCTACTGCATGCATACGATTACAGACATTCTTTTGCGCAAGACAATAGCTGACCCACAAAACAACAACTTATTTAGTAGTTTTGCTTTCCTTGAACTGAACAGTTTTAGAGTTCAACTGAGATCCAATTTATGAATGCAGAATAATCGTTTTCCCGCGCAATTCAAGTATTTCTGAGAGCATGTCTTTGCTCTATGATCACAACACAACGAGCTTCCGTAAAACGTTCAAAACACGTCGTAAACGACTTATCATCGGACACAGAAGCTTATAACTCACGAACAAAACACTTTCCTACCGTTGGAACAGTTTTGCAGATCACTGGCCCCTGTGTGTTGTTCAGGGAACCCCTTGGAAAGTGATGGCCCCTGCGAATCCATCATGGCGCTCCCCACAGCCGAGAAGAAAGCAAAATGGCGGACGACATGCAGCATGCAAGCGATATGATATTGCGCAATAGCAAAACACGAACCACTTGCATGGGGGGTGGTGAGACATTAATTTATTCCCAATGTGTCTAAAATTCCAAAGAATAGGGCAGGGATTTGCGTTCTAGTCAATTTCTGGTTATAATAATAAAAAATGTTGAAATTCTTACTCAGAGTCCAGACACCAATACAACACACATTGATCGATACTTTAATCAAAACTGCCCATGCCCCAGTCCGCACAGGTATTTTGCGCGCGATGGACACGCGGAAAGCACGCAAAGAAAAGGAGAGGTTACATAGCAAAATGTTGTTTGCTTTGTGATGAACGAGGAAGAGTGGTAGGGGAATCGAAATTGGCAGAAACTTTGTTTATGTTCTTTGACTAAAGGCCATGTCTAACACCACAGACGATGGGAAAGGTGACAATGATCCCTGTCCTCTCCAGTACTTTGATTTTAAAATGGTGGACCACAAGACGATGTGTCCTTTCTTCACTTCTTTGTTGACCCGTTCAACCGAACAAGGGATCGCACCAGAGGATCTCCACCTGCTTCAAAGCGACCTTGAAACTCTTCTTG